CGTGGCCTACTGTATGGTCAGCTTTTAAAAAATGTTTTATTAGTGCTTGAAAATAATATTCTGCATTGAGTGCAAGTTCTTCATACCCTTTACATAGTTTGTTAATTTTGTTGTTCAAATTTAATGTTTCATTATTGCTATTTTTTGCTTGTTCTATCAATTATTGAAAGGTATATTAAAATCTCCTGCTGTGATGGTAGATTTGTCAGTTTTTTGTTGTAGTTCTATCAATTTTTACGTAAATATTTTCAGCTTACATTATTAGGTGCATAGGAATTTAAAACTGTCATACACCTCTTTGTGACTTGAACCTTTGTATCATTATGAAGTCTACTTTATTGGTCTTAATACAACCAGTGCCACTTTTTTTTACTTAGTCTTTGCTGGATATATTCTTTTTCCATCTACTTACTTTTGATCTTTCTGGAAAACTTAGTAAGCATGGCAAGAAAAAAAATGAAAGAAATAAAGATTCAAATAAAGAAAAAAGTACTGTCATACTTGCAGCTGCTATAACTATGTAAGTAGTGAGAATAAATTAAATAACTAGAAAAAAATAATGCTATTTATTAACATATTAGCATAAAAATAAGACCACCTAGAAATACCTGCAGCAAAACTGTGCAAGATGTTGATGGAGAAAAATATAAACTTTGGAAGAAATTAAAAATCTAAAGAAATCCTAAAGAAATGAATAGATACGATACTGTCTCCAAATTGATCTATGGTTCAATGTAATTAAAGAAAATTCCACCTGGGTGTTAGTAAAACTCTACAAGTCAATTCTAAACTGTATAAAGAATTACAGGGGCCAAGAACAGCCACAACATTCTTGAATAACAACAACAAAATGGGGTGAGGGGAAAAGCCGTACCAAAAGATCGAGCCATATTATGAAAAATGTTCACACCATACACAAAAATTAATTCCATGTGGATTTATGACTTAAATGTAAAAAGCAAAAATTTAGTGCTTTCAAAAAACAAAATGGGAGAATATTCTTATGACTTTGGGATAAGAAAGGATCTCTCAAACAAGAAACAGGAGCCACAATTCATAAAAGACTAATTTGATAAGACTAGACAAGTAAACAACTCTATCATGACAGTGAAGAGAGTGAGAAGACAAGCCACAAACTGGAAAAGATATTTGCAGCACATGTGACTGACGCAGGATATTACCTAGAATATACAAAGATCTACAAATCAGAAGGAAGATAACCCAACAGTCACTTCAAAAAGAAAAAAAAAATCAAATCACCAATAACATATATGAAAAGATGTTCAATCTCAGTGTTCAGGGAAATGGATTAAAAACACTGCGTAAGTTTATACTCTTGTCAAATGCTTGCTATTTGTCACAATATAATTAGTCAAATACAGATGAACGTATTTGCATGCTTCATATCTCTCCCTTGGTCATTTCTCTATTGTAAATTTCCTATGTGTAAGGTTTTGAGGTTTTGTTTGTTTGTTTGTTTTGCATATAAGCACATGCTGGTTCACAAACTAGTGATAATTAATGTGCCTGACTCTCTCATCATAGAACCTTCATCAACCTGGGGGGGGGGGGCGCGTGTAGCTCCAGCTCTGGGCTCTTCTTCTAATAGACCTTTGGTACCTTATGCAACCTGTCTTCCTGGATTGTCTTACTTACAACTTGAGGTGATTGAACAAAGTGAGTTCTAGAGACATTCCCTTGCCCCAACCCAATCAATGTACATGCTTTTTCAAGCCTTTCTTTTTCACTTACTCTTTCTTTCATTCTTTCACCAGATATTATTTCCCTCAATCTTGTATACCAGGCATAGGAGACATGAAAATAAACAGACACAACCATCTCTGGTCCCCAGGGTCTCCCGCTAGTTCAGGGCAAAGAAAAAGTTAACAAGTCACGGCAATGCAGCAGCTGCCACAACTGAAGGACAAAGGAGGGCTGCCTGGACAGACGGACGAGGAAACATGTGCACTGGGACAGAAGGACAGTAGGATTTTTGGGGGGTGGGGCAGCATGAGGAACAAGGAAAGGGATTTCCAGGCAGAGAGACGAGTATGGCCAAAAATCTTGAGAGCAAAAAAAGAAAGTAAGGCTTTGGGGCTTTGTAGAGAGTTCAGCACGGGAGAGTGGCGAGCTCATGTTATACAAAGAAGTCAGAAATTATTCAGTAGTAACACAGTGTCTTTGGGCAGGGAAGTGATATAACACTGGACTTCAGAAAGATCTCTCTGGGTGCACTGTGAAGGAAAGAATGGGATATGGAAGTAGGAAACAGGAAAGGAAGAAGTAGAAAGACTAGTTAGAAGGTTATTATAACAGTCTTGCAGAGAATTAAGAATCTGAAATAAAATATTTGATAAATACCATTGTATCACGATGACAGAACCCAACACCCAAAAGCAGGGGTTGAAAGAGAAACAAAAAACAAGAATGGCTCCTGGGAGAAGTAACGCAGACATGAAGTAAGGCTGTATCAGTGCAAATGGAGAGGAAAAATTAATTTGAGAGAAATTAATGAAGCAGAAATGTTAGAACCAGCTGAACAACTAGCTTCAGGGGCTGAGGAAGAAGGAAAAGGAAGACCCTTCTATTTTGGCTTGGTCTAATAAGTGGGTTGTGGGATCATTAACCAAAATGGGAAAAACAGGTGAGGTAGACCTTGCGGGGGCGGGGGGGGGGAGTGTTAATTTTTTAGCACATTGCATTGGAGGTACCTGAGACCCCTCCAGAGAGAGAAGTTTGGTAGTTCTGGAGCTAGCAAGGAGTTTAGAGTTGGAAATAGTAAGGATAGCGTGTCTGACAGTGTTATAAGTGCTTAATGTGCTTTACGAACAAGTCTATCCACGAGATGGGTCCTAGTGTCATCTCCACTTTACAGATGAGAAAAACCTTGGGCACGGAACACTTAAGTAACTCATCCCAGGGGCGCCTGGATGGCTCAGGTGGTTAAAGGTCTGCCTTCGGCTCAGGTCATGGTCTCAGGGTCCTGGGATCGAGCCCCATGTCGGGCTCCCTGCTCAGCGGGGAGCCTGCTTCTCCCTCTCCTCCCCACCTGTGCTCTCTGTCACTCTCTCTCAAATAATAATTAAAATCTTAAAGAAAAAAAGTAACTCATCCAAGGTGACCATTTGGGTGAGTGCGGGAGCAGTATGTGAATCCTGACAGTCTTGATTCCAGAGCCTGTGTGAACTACTTCATAGTGTTCACCTGTGAGGCATCAGAAGCACAGACTGAAGTTGAAGGCATGAGAGAATATGAGAGGTGAAAGGGGGACTAAGGAAACATACAAATGAGCACAGCAGAGCAGGGTTTCAGAAGACTGAGGATGACCCTATGGAAGCCATAGGGAGAGAAAATTTCAAGAAACAAGACCTATTTAATAGTGTCACTTGATGCAGATATTCAAGTCAGATGGCAGAACCTGACACGTTCTCAACATTTCTTAGGGAGAGTAAGTTTCCTAAGAGGCTAGGGCTAGGTTGCACTTGGTTGAGGAGAAAATGAGATGAAGTGAGAGCTCCGAAAAGCTAAGCTGTGCAAAGAATGACAACTCAGGAGGTTGCTGGAGTGATACAAATTTGGGGAGTTTGTTTTGTTATAAAGATAGGAGAATCCTAAGCATTCTTTCATACCATTCTATTAATAAAAAGTAAAATTCATAAAAACTTGCAGAAGACTTAGAGTTACAACACTAGACTTGGGAACACCTTTTTTTTTTGGTTTGATTTTTTTTATATTGAAGTATAATTCGCATACAATGTTATATTAGTTTCAGGTATACAACATACTGATTTGACAATTCTATAAGAAACATCTTAGGTACAAAGTAATTTTTGCACACTGCCTCCCATCACCACATCTTGCGCTTCTGATCACCCCCATTAGGCTCTACTGGGCCTATACTACCAATTGGTGGATGCTTTTCTCTGTTTCTAGACACACCAACCTTTCCTCAGATCTTCAAACACACCTAGGCTCTTTGTCTCTCAAAGCTTGCTGTCTCCTTTGGAAACTCTCCCCTTATCTAGCACATGGCTGGCTTCTCCTCCTTCTTCAAAGCTGCTTTTTCAGAAAAGACTTCCCTGACCAATCTATGGAAGTCATAATTCTATCTTACTCCCTATCATGGAGTAAGTAGTCCTTCATAGTACTCAATCCAATCTGTAACCACTTTATTTGCTCACATTTTATTGGCTTCCTCTTCCACTAGCATGTATGCAAAGATGTCTAGCTTGTTGGCCTCTGTGTCTTCAGCCCCTAGAATAGTTCCTGGCAAATAACATGTCTTCAGTAAATATTTGTTAAATGATCCACACAACCCAATTTCTTCCTCTATCACCTTCCTCAACTGGGATCAAGCACAGTTTCTTAAGCCCAAGGCCTTTTCTCACTGTACTGACATATATAATCACAAGGGTTAAACTAACATTTATTGTACTTTTATTAGATACTAAGCTCTTTGCTATAAGCTACATTTGTATCATTTCACTTACGTTTTACATAACTCTCTCATATAGATACGTACTTCTAAAATTATCTCCATTGTACAGGCGATGACACAGTGGAGGTTGTATAACTTACCCAGGTTCACAGAAGTGGTGGAGCCGGGATCAGAATCTAGTTCTGACTTCAGAAACAAAACCAAGCCGGGCCATTACTCACTTCAAGTGAGGATACATGCTCTAGTTTGGGAAGTTCTGATTTAAACCTGCTCTACCCAGGCCACATCCTAATCACAGTAAGTTCAAATTTCACGACCCCCCCCCTCCCCTTCCCACTTGCTTGCTGGCGGGAGGCGAGAGCGGGGAGCAGTGGAGAGCTGTCCTGAACATCCAAGTCCCGGCTTCTCCCGAGGCAGATGCATGTAGGAAGAAGAGATCCGAGCGTTAGCAACTTATATCTCAGCGCTGAGGAAGAGGTAACCCGGGGCCTAACAAGAGACTGCCGGATTTTGGAGCAGAAGCAGACAAGTCCCGCACTGCATCAGTGGCCAAAGAGCTTACCTTAACTGCCACCTCCGGAGCCGAGTCCACCGCCACTGCCAGAGAGGGCTTGGTCGAAGCTGATTTCGTCAAGTGCATGAGGGAGTCGGCGGCTGGCAGGGAACACCGTCCGCCCTCACTGTCCGAGTCCGATTCGGACCCTGAACCGGAACCGTAGGACGCAGCCAGAGCTGCAATTGCAGCCGACATGACGGCAACAGATCCTCTGCGGAGACCAGGCCCGGGCGGAAGAAGCAGCTTCCAGGTCCTGACAGATGACCATAACACACATTATTTACTTCCTTTGCTAAGAATTCACTTACGAAACTTTAAGTTGTACACTAATTAGCATTTGAATATATATAAGAGAACCGAGAATATGAAAACATTTATCCAGGGAAATAGAGAGAATTATAATACCTTATAGCTTTCAGGACATAGGTGGCTAGATTAAAGACTACGAGTTCCGAAATACCTTGAGGCCGCGAGGTCCTACACTCCCGGCGTGCAGCGCGGCGGGAAGTGGGAGAGGCACAATGGGAAGTGTAGTTTGGAGCGAGGGGCGGGGCGAAGTGGGCAGGCCTCTCTTTGACTCCTCCCCTGAATGGATGGTTCATTCAATTGGCTATCATCTTCCCTCACTCCCAGGCCAAGCACTGTTCTCTCCGTCCCCTTCCCCCAAATTGAGGATTGGGCAATACCATACAGCCTCAGGAAATGGGGGGGAAAGCCGTATTCATTCCCTCTGTTGGGTGAGTGGGTGGAGGCTGAGTTTTCCACCACGGCTGCACCTGGCACGGGAGTTGAAGAGGAAAGTGCGAATCTAAATTGGAAGACCCTGAGTGGTGGAGAATAGCTCCTGTTGGGAAGGATGGGAGATTAGGCGGCGAGGGCCAGCGGTCCCCCCTGCTTCAGGCGCGGATCCCCGCGCCCGGTTGTGGAGCGTCGCGCGCGGGGAGGGGGCGGGCGGGGGGCGGCGGCGGCGGCGG